GCTCAAAACTCAATTGTGCGATTCGGGATGACAGTGTACCGACACATTTAACCTTTTATCGGTCAAATTTGTCTTCACGAATTTCAGATACGGTCGATACGCGAATAATAATAAATCTGCGCTTCTCCGAAGTCGGCAAAAAATCGATACGTTGTTATTTCCGGCATGTAATTTTCAGTATTTTCTCGTTTCTCAATTCTAACATCTATAGTACTAATTGATTTTTAATATGCAACTTTGTTATTTTATCGTACAATATCCAATTTTACACACGGCGCATATTTCGTGCCGCATATTTGCGGAATAATACGATATTGCAAACGCGTTTGAATATTGCTCTCCGTATTTAGAAAGCAGTACACAATACAAAAGCTTTAACCTCACCCTGAAAAAGGCCGCCGTGCTGCCGCCTTTGAGGGCACCGTACTTGATCTTCGTCTGCTTGGCGAGATCCTCGGCGCTCTCGATCGGCGAATCCATCCTCTCGACGGTAAGAAAAGCCGCGAGATTAGCCGTATACGAGGAGATCATGATCAACGTGAAGAACCACCACATGCCCGCGACCATGCGAGTCGACACGGCCCTGCGATAAGAATTCAAAGGCTGCAGACCGTTTTTCGCTACGGGACGCTTTAAACTGAAAATTCCCGGCGCGAATTTGTTCGCAAAATAGTCCGCATAACCGTCCCGCTCTTGTAGAGAGCCGTGCCCGATAAAGCAGCACGTGTCGAAAATACGAAGTCGCAGAAAAAAAGAATCAATGGCACCTGCCGTTCGCGGAAGTTTTCGAGAGTAACTTTACGTCTTTCGAGGGGGTAATGGAGCGTGCGGAAGTTCAACTTCGCTTTATGTAACGAGCCGGCTGTACACGTCACGAATATAACCCGTTTTGCAGTTAAGCTGCTCGCGTTTCGGTATTAAACGGCAAATGCGGAAACTGGCGAGCGGAACAGATACGCAGGACGTATTTGCGGACAAATTATTTTACATCGTGAAAATTGATGCGTATGCATAAATGCTATTATACCGTATATATAACGAGCGCGTGGAATTATTGGAAACTACTTGCGTAACGACATTCCAAGCTGCTAACGCATGCTATGCGATTTCATGCATTTCGATAATTAGGAACGAGCAAAGCACTCTGATTAATTTCGCTTATATGTAATTTCACGGTGCACTGCGGTGAAACTGTAGTAAGGATGCACTTTTTTTTTTTTCACGGGGATTTCAGAATCATATTTCTGCCCGTGCGAGTCAGAGCTCTTTAATTTTGGACATTAAACATCTTACTAGTCGAGTGTAAAGTTAATCATGTATTAAAGGAGTATCTGCTTCGACTTAATTAGAAAGTAAAGTTTTGTTACTTCATTACGCCGCTGAAGCTTAATTTGCCATAAACCTTTAATTAAGTAGCTTCTAATTAAGCCATCGATTAAATTTTCATTAAAGGAAGAGTCCGACACCAAAAGCCGTTAAGGAACACATCCCCGCTACTAATTCCCACATTTTCCGCCGTGCTCCGCGTACAATCAGTTGCAGCAAGCCTACGATATAGCACAGCCGTTAAAATGTCAGTTAAGTGCGATGCGATTCATCCGGATAATTTACAATTTACAGCGCGCTGCGCGTTCGCTTCTCTCGCGCGATTGTTAAACTACTGCCGTTAACATCGCTGACCGACAACAATATAACGGATTCCGCGTCGCCGTATATCACGTTTGAATACATTGTGCGCTCTTCTTCGATAACTTACTTCGGTGCTATATCGGAGCCTTGCTGCATGAGCGAGCCTATGGTGAACCAGAGCGAGTTCAGCAGGGTGAACTCGTTCTCGAGGACCTCGGACTGCCCGTTGCACGGATGGGGGTTCTCCCACTCGTAGGGGCTGAACCTGCGGACACGTGAAAGGGGTAGGGCCGAGATTAGATGTCGAAGCGTGTACCTATTCACGACGAATTGTCAGTCTGAAAGAACGCGGAGAAATCTGTAGAATTATACGCATATGCTTTTCACATCTTTTGCCGAATAAAGCGACGATTTTTCAACAATTAAATCAGTGACTAAATTATGAATCAGTTATAACACTTATTTAAAATTATAAAAATATGACGAAAAACTTTTCGGTATAATCTTATTTTTAATTCCTTTTTTGCACTTAGTTCATAAAGCAAGTGATTTATCAATTACTATGTTGTTTTTTTTTAACTTTTTTAATATTTGAAAACAGTACGTGTACGTGAAAATACATATAACATTTCATGGTGCATTTTATGTTTCTTTTTGATCAATCGCTTTCTGATTACTCGATGATTTATGCAGGAAAGGGTTCAATTTTAAAGGTAGCTCAGGGGGAAATTAGTCGAGTGTAACATGCGACGAGCACAATATATTGCACATGGAAATTATTCTCTCAATATGTGAGAAAGCTTACTTGGGCAGAATATCACAACCCTGCCGCATTAGAGAGCCAATGGTGAACCACAAGCAATTAAGGAGCTTGAAGCGATTCTCCAGGCGATCCGGATTTTTGTTGCACGGATGCGGGTTGTACCATTCGTACGGCGTGAATCTAAATTCAATGATTCCAGACACATGTTCTGATGCAATAGTGTCAAGCACGGTATTTTATTATAAAAAGATCTATTTTAAAATTCTTGATACACATACTAATTATTGTACTTGGAAAGATATTCTGATCCGGTTTATAAATAATTTATTTGAAATAATTAATACAGTATACGCGAGATAATGCTTCTTCTTGTCGCAAAAATTGGAAGACGGCATCGGTGTCGATACAAATTAATCGTTTAATTGGCATTAAGTTTTTAATCGCTGCATTTGATTTATGAAATGAATAAACATGAAGATTCTCGCGAAGTGAGATAGGCTTCCTTCGAACTTAATTTGTCAATAGACTGTACTGCGGGAGATGTGATCGCATCGATTAGACAGGAGATAGAATTTCCGGAATAGCGTGACGGCATTTTTGCCGGAGGAATTTAAAGTGGTTTCACTTGCCTGGCTAGTATAAAGAGGAGCACAGAGACCCCGAGATAAGCCGTCGCCATGTAGATCCAAACGTCGAGGCTAAGAGGACTGAGAAACGAGAACAAATTCGGCGGTTGCTTTATGGGTTTGCGGTAAAGTATGCTGATCCCTGTAAATTCAAAATTCTCGTTTTATGCTCAGCCACGGCACAGACCGCGGATAGAATGCATTGATGTGTGGACACAGTGGACCGCGTATAATTAGTCTTGAAATTTATTCGGGTTTTCGTTACCGCCGCGCATGACTTACAAAGGTACATAATGGCTCGCGAAATTGCGCCCGAGAAATTATTCAAAAGATACAAGATAAGAATCACCGGCCACGTGTGAAATCTTAGATCTTATCTCATTATTTCAACGTTGAGAGTAAATTTGTTATCTCACATGCTGAGAATGAATTTTCATTCATAGCGCTATTAATATCTTATGCATTTTTAATGTTATTTTATGGAATTTTTTGCACGGTATAATTCAGAGATGAAAGAAGTAAAGAGAATAAAATTTATATTAGCATATTCTCAATTTTTTTAATATGAGTAATACTTATTTGAAATGCGTGCGTGGCTACTTTTTTCTCATTTCTCCCAACGTCAATGCTTAATGGACATTGTATAAGATCACAAGAAAAGTAGTGGTTCAGTATCGTAAAAAATAATATTAAAATACTCTTTCAAGCTATTCATATAAGGTAGCATATTTCTTTTACAATTTCTTTTGTAAGATATTTATATGGAAATCGTGGAATCGCGGCGGTGTTCACTGCGCGGTGTTATAGCGTTAGCGTCTTACCCAGAGGCATGAATGGCATCGTGAAGTCCACGGCCTGTTCTCGGTCGTATGTGATGGTGAGATCGGCGATCGCAAGATCGGCTTTCTGATCGAGCAGCTCCTTCATCATCCCGTCCCACTCCTTCGTCTGCTTGTTGTACGAGCCGTAACGTCCGTCCGGCACAAGCCGGAACGTATAATTGAATCCAAGCAGCCGCGAGATCTCGTAAATCAAGTCGACGCTGTAGCCTTCGAACTGCGCGTTTCCGGTAAGCTTCTCGCTTGAGTCCTTCCGCATGCAGTATGGCGCGCTCTGCGACGAAGTAATGAGATACCGTCAATAGGGTGCCTGCATATGCGCGTCTAAAGGGACGTTGCGCGTCTACCGATACGAGCTTATCGATAGCTATCGATAGCATTGACTCGTCGTATACGGGTCTCTGAGTGAAATTATTATATCTACAGGTAATCCTGACGATGCTTATAAGCATCGAGATTGAAGTATATTGAACAGAGTAGAATGCTTTTCAATCAAATATTTTTATATTAAAGCAAACTTATTCGATATTGTGGAGGAAATTTATTTAGAACAATTTTTTTTAGTAAAATAGATACAAGATGTATCGCAAAGTTTGCGATTGAATCTGGAGAAGGTTCTGTTAACTATTTAAATCAGAGCTACATATTAAAAACAATGCAGTTTTAAAATATTAAATACCAGGGATTGTGATTGTTGTTAGAAAAAGTTTTTCCTGAAATTTGATATAATCTTACATTCTGTAATACACGTTTGTAACTGTTGTACTTTCAATAACAGATTCGTTTTAGACGCGTCCGGCCGCTTACTGATCGATGAAATGTTAGAGCGTCGGAGTTTTTACAAAAACAACTCTGGCACGATGCGAGAGTTCCAGTTCTTACTGTCGCGGCAGACTTGCCGTTATCCCTTTCTCGGCCGAGTTTCAAGGCACTTAATACATTACCGAGTACATTACTTGTCGCCGCAATTAGCGCGAGAATAAGTAATGCGAGTCGAGCGCGCCGTGAAAACTTCAATTAAGTCGCGCGTATCCAGCACTGGCGTTTTCATCCTTCTCGTTTTCTTCCTTTCCTTTCTGGGAAAAAGGGAGCGGAAAGCTAACGAGCGCGCAGGCTTCGCTAATGGATGGAAAAAAATTTTCCACCCGCTGTGACGGTTGCTTAATGCGGCGACGTTCCTGTTTTGTTCGTGTTTTGATTAAAGCGACGATTTTCGAGCTCGTTGCACGATTGTCGCGAATGATTTTTATAGACGCAAGCAGATACGACGTCTTCGATATCGAAATAAATATGATTGGTATTTTTTTTTACCTTAAACTACGAAATCCGTGAAGTTCAAAGCAATTTTTAAAACTGACGCATTAGGTTGAGTAGTATTTTTTGTTGAAGAGGCTTTTTAAGTATCTTATTGCAAAGTTACTTCACCGTATTCTAATCTAATATATTTTAGACGACGATCAGAAAAATATAGTGCGTATATAGAGATACGCACATATATTTCTTTAATAAATTAAACTACTCGATTAATTAGTATTTTTCTATTTTTTTGAATAAAAAAAGTGCTCAAATATATTATCACACTTTATCTGAATTAGATAATATATAAAACATATCTTTTTTATAAGATAAAATAGGTAGTGAATTTATAGCGGGTTTATTCAATATATTATTTTGACGTTTGGCAAAGTTCCTTCAGATTCACTATCGCGAAAGGAAGTAGCGTGCATTTTGAAAACGCCACTCACCAGTATGGTCGTTACGATGAAAGTCTTATTCTGCAAATTTTCAACGATTTGAGTGTAAACGTCGCCGTAGCTCCTCGTGAAGTTGATACCCTTGGTACTGTTCCAGGTGCCGATTTTCTTCAAGCCCTCTTTGCTATTCAGTTCAATGATGTCTAGAACGAAGTCGGAGCGGAAGCCCTGATGGTCGAACTTGATAATACCGGTAAGTCCAGTCATCTCCACCTTAAAAATGTGTATCAGTGATGCTTATGACATCGTGAGATTGCTAATATAACATTAATATTATACACGATATTAAAATTCTTCAAGATCATATTTATGCACACATAATACTGCAATATTTGACGCGCCGTGCAAGTAAACCGACGTACTGCAAATAAGAATTTTATACGCAGTAGATTGTATACACAATACGAGGTGCGTTAGTAGTTCTTACAAATTGTATAGCGGAATATTCGTACGAATTTCCCCGATTTTTCGTATTTTACATTATTACGGAGAGAAATTTGTTAGTAATTTTTTATTCACGAATCTCGCCTAGCATAATATCTCGTTATCAACGTAAACACAGCACGCCGTAATTTCTTGAACAAAAGAAGTTTAAGACTCGCCTCGGTGGGATGCGCACGTTTAAAGTGAAGTCGGAGTAGAGAGATTTGCGGTGCATTTATTACGCATACATACGAAGGGTTTGTCTAACTATTTCATAAAGCCGGTATAGAGCGTCTGCAGTGTACCGGGCGTTATAATTCACACAATTACATTGTTGGGACGTAAAAGACGCATTAATACGCAGCAGCAGCAGCATTTTGATACCGAAATTTCGTCGTAACATTCGTAAAGTATGATTCGCGAGTAATTACGTCGCGCATGATAACTGAACCCAATCTCCCTCCCCCCCCCTTGCCCCTGTATACGCGAGTCACACCCCGTACACTCGCAAAACGGCACGGTGTAATTGCGGACGAAATTCTCCGCGACTGCTTGTAATTACCGGTCCATGAATATGCCGAAATTAAATTCTACCTTGACGCGCGAGTTAATATAGGCGCTATCGTTACCAACGATCTACGGTGTTAATCCTCGGAAGGAATGAAGCGTCCCGGTTGATAATTATAGCGCCACTCGACGAATGCCAATCTCTCGCAAATGAATATGGGAGAATCCGTCGGAAAAAGCTGTCGGCGGTAATATAATGCAGGTCGGTGAGCCGCACGGCTCGCCGCGAAACGCCTACGTTTGAGGAAACTACTAGCGAGAGAATTCTGACGTAGTCTCGTAGTTGCAGTTTTGAAACGTTTTGCCAACTACGATATAGTTGGAAGAGAAGTTTCCGGGCACATTTGGGAGCGTGTTTTGTTAAATGAAAATGAAAATGACGTCATTGTAGAAAATGATGTCATGCGCGCGGGTATAAAGTGAGAACTATTTGCATGTTCATGTTGTGTTTTCATCTCTAATGTTTCATTGAAAATAATTTTTGCAAATAGGTCTCCAATAATATTTAAAAACTCTTATAATTTTTCAAATATTGTTTGTTTATTTATTTTCTTTTTAGAAAAAAGAAACGAACAAAAAATACAGATATTTTTCGTTTTAACAACATTCATCATTTGAAAAAAATTTACTCCATCTCTATAAAGATTGAAGCTATTGCGTTACTTGCTATCTGAAACGTGTAACAGGATAGTCACAAGTCCGCCAAAATTACACGCGCATGTCTGCTTCTATTGACATGAATTTTTGCTGATCCTAGTCAGGACGTTTCGGCCGTGTGAGCGACAGGCTTCGCTCGTTCGTGACATATACGCAGTCACGGCAGCATATGAGAGTCGCCTCCGCGCGCCGAGAACATATCTTCCGTACTTGTCAATCTCGGCACGGCGATGCGAATGACGAGACACGTTTCCATATCCTGCGTGCAACGCATATTTATATTCGCGGTAACTCATATTGCGCTGCTGATGCGACACGTTAGCATATTCTACATGTGTGTTCGATTTTACCGGTTAAACATCTGGAGCGTGCTCCGTGGCGGGATATTCGCTTACCGGAATGTAAAAACCAAAAATCTTGGCGGCGAAAAGTCGCCCGTATCGATCGGGAACTTCGTCGCATATACTTGCCTTTAATGTCGCGCGTCACTTCGTAAAGGCTTCGCGCACTACGGCCTATGCAGATCTTTGCTTCAAAATGCACCGCGGTTGAGACCGCGAACGACAATTTGTCAGCGCGTGCGACAGCTTCGTTTAAACTAGAGTAACTTTCCATTGTTCCGTGGGAACAATCGAGCGCGGATCGTGGAAAGTCAATGCATCCCAGGCTTCGCGTGATTTCCCGCATCTACCCGATTTAACCCAGTATCACGTGTTTATCAATCTTTCCCCTTTATTTCCGCGTCTTTCGTTTTCTTGTTAAAAATTATCCGGAAAATGCGGAGCTCGCGTCGATGTTAAATTAATAAGATTAAATGTTGCTTCTATTATTCGATTAATCGCTAGTGCGTACAAACAGATGTATCGAAGTGATATCTGACGCTTGCTTGCAATATCAAATGTTAATCATGCAGCACGAATATAGATTTGTGCTTTAGAGATAAGAGCATCTGTTGGCACAATTACTTCTGACATAACTTGTGGAACTAAAACAAACGGACTGGATCAAGAAAAATCTGCAAAAATTTTAAAAGATGGTAATTTTTATAAAACAACGCTATATGTGTAATTCTTTTATGAAGACATTATAAAAAGGATAAAGAAATGATGAAACTTACATCTTAGAATTTAATCGTCGCGGAATAATGAATGAACATGTGCATTGTATGTGACGCACAAACCCGTAGCGCTTGTTAATGAGCGATGCACAGGATCACGCGGGAGGCGAGGGAGCGGGTGAGATCAAGCATATCGTTATAATGGCTTATTACGTTGTCGGAGCGATCGATCGGCGGTGTCCATAATTCCGCGAAATTAATTTCTCCCTGGCGCGATAATTCGCCTCTGCGCTGAGCGTGCACTAATCATGCGGAAGACGACTGTCAAACATCTTTACCGCGTCACATCGCGTGAGCATAATATGCATGGTTTACGTGATTGATTAAGCGAGAATATTTGATGAAAGCTTAAAAGAATTGTGTAGATTCGATCTGTTATTATCTTTAAATCTACCCGTTAATTAATGACAGTGATACCGTGACAGTTGTAAAGGCTGTGTCATCTTCATTAACAGTATTTAGTGCTAAACGTGACTGACTGATTTTACATTTGATTTATTTGATACGAAAATGTGTTTTTCAATGTTGATAGAAAATATAAGATCTACGTTGCCCGTACGAGTACTATAAATACGATGAGGAGAGATACAAATTACTATTTAATTAAACAAATTCTGTATTAAAAATAGCGGAAGTTTTGTGTAAAAATAAAAAATTAGATAAAAATGTGAAAAAAAATTTGCCAACATTTTCAATGCAACATACTAGAATGTTAAACTTATTTTATTTATAATAGAGCTTGAAACGACAAAATTTTGCGATTCAAAGAAAGAAACTTATGGTTTATATATTTCATAATGCAATATTTCTATGCTATAAAATTGATTATGCGTATATTACTTACGATTTTCATGTAATTAATGAGCGAGTATCCGTGAGGCCAAGTATCGGTTGACTCGCAGGATAATGGTTTGATATCGATCTGCTGGGATGTGTCGAGATCGTGCAAAGCCTTGGCGAAAAGATGGACGGCATCGTACAGCAGGGATGTTTCAGTCTGTGAACGGCACACATGCATTGAATACAAAATATTTCACGTGATTTACTGGAATATTTTAGAGAATATTAGGCTCAGGGGGAGGAAAAAGTAGCTTTCGGTCCAGAAACTATTTCGATCTTGTAATATAATCCGAACTTTCTTCTTTGTAATACGTTCTTTCGTTATTGATACTTGTTGAGATACATGATCACACATGTCATTTTATGTGTGTCCTACATACAGCACGTATATATTGGATATCCTAGAAAATGATAATCAGACGGTATTGTGTATTGGATTTCGATACGATATCTTTTTCACAAGTATTGGGAAGAGACACTTTTTTCACAATTCTTCGTCTTTCAATCTTATTAGAGTACGTGTAGTTCATTGCTAGCCAAATTCGTGCGTACAATAAGTCTTTCATAAAAATAAAATCACATAACGACTTGATTTTATCTACAAATCTGATTTTTGGAATTTGAAGTATTAATATAACTTTTTGATTGAACAAAACGCGTTATAATATTGTGGTGACGTGGTTTTATTATTATAGGATCTTTCGGGATATTATATATACGAAAAATTATATGCAACAATTGTATATTACCGAGGGCTTTGCTCTCTTTGATGTCGACGATGTACAAACTATCTCGCGCGAAATCGCAATTCCACGTTCACGATATTGAAATTATCAAAGAAAGCGACAAAGAAAGAACGGTGAGGGTTAAAATCCCGACTCTGCCGTTTCACGAGAGGAATCGTATTTGGAAGCAGAGGTCGGACGGAGAATTCCTGTTTCTGCGCCAACGTGTGAAGAGTAAAAGGACAAAATCTCCGGCTCCTGGAAGGATTTCACGGCAAATTGGCGCCTCTGTTTCCCCGACATTTATATTTCGTAACTCGCACGCGCGGTATCCCCGCGATACTGTCGCTGTAAAAGCGGTATCATCTTAGGTATCGTGCCGTGTGGGGGTGTATATTCCTTCCGATATATTCGAAACAACCAATATCCTTATCGGATTTTACGATGCCTCATCCGGGGAGCGTATTTATGGAGAAACGAGTCAATGTGTCCGATTCACGTGTTTTCCGATCCAAAGAGATGATATTCTTACGTTGATATGTCAAATTTTGGACAAATAGAAACTCCGCGAAGAAATGATATTATCTATTTATCCATTATTTATCTATTACAGTGAGAAATAAAGGAGCGCCGAGAAAACGAAAGAAAAGGGGAGAGAAAAGTTGCATTAAAATTGCATGTTGCAAAATTTGTTCTGAATATTTATTCTCAAGAATCATAGAATTTTTATCTTATTTGAGGAATTATCGTGCAGAACTATTTAAAAAGATGTTTATTTTAAATAATTCCACTTGTCATTATGGAATTTCGGATAGCACACGGAAATGCTTTCGACACTTAGCGATCAAACAAATGCTTGCAGCTTGTAATTTCGCTTTGATTAAATAATTTCATAATCAAGCAAATTTCATAATTTTTAATTTTTCTACGTTATTAATTATTTAATTATTGTCTTATTTTTATTATTAAATGTTTTAAAATTTATCTTGCATAAGTGTAGGATTATACATAGGTTTATTTAATAATATAGAGTACAGTTAACAATATAGAGTACAACTAATCGTCGTGATCTTTTCCGTATAGAAGTTCGCTCGAGACTGACTTTTCGCTCGTTCCTCTACGCACTTTTATACCCTAAAGAGTGGTAACATAAAAGAAAACCGACATTGTTTGTCGCGGACCGCCAAAAGAGTTTACTGTATAATTATGTCAATAGACGCTGCGACCGGATACATAAAAGAAATAAATGAAATAAAACATTAGACGGCGGATCGATCTGTCGGCAGTGGATCAATAGATCCCACATATTCAATTATATACTTTTATCAATTATATACTTTTCGGTAATCATGATCATTTCTGATTGATCGCGTTTTGCCGATAACTTATTCGTAATGAAATGTTTGACCGATTCCGCGTTCTGCGGAATTGGCCAATAATTAATTGAAAGTGTAAAAACAAGCCAGATCGTTTTCATTTGCGCTCCACGGTCAGAATTTACGTAACCTATTAGTTCTTGTCGCCGCAAAAGGTTTGCGAGGGAATAACTATTCATTTCAACGTGTTTTTCGAAGGAAAATATCTCGCAAGAGACGAATATTTAACTTACCTTTATAGTGGTGAAGTTATTCTATTCCGCGCGTGCATGAAAGAAAAAAATTAATTAATTTAATTTATTATTTAACATCTAAAAATTTATATAAGAATGTAATAATATGCTTTAATGATAAATGCTGGAAAAGTGAAAATTGCGTAGAGTGTTGTGTAAAACAATGTTGATTAGTCAACATTCATGTTCAAGAGGAGAATAATTTCTTAATGACCAATAGAAAGTTGCAAATATGCGTACGCTAGATGATTAATAAAGATTAAACCCTAGGTGATACTAGGGATTAAACTTTTGTTACGTAATTGTTGTTTTCAACTTCTTACGCAACTGCACTAATGAATGGCGCCGCAAAATCTGCAATTTACGCATAAGCCGCGAATAACGAGCTTACGTTCGTTGCCGGTTCTAATAAATCCATTCGTTGTGTCCTGTCTATAATCGAATCAATGTATTGTTCGTTTGTTTGTCATCGCGTGCACATTGAGTTAATTAGTTTAGCTTTGACGCGGTCGTAATGGGATCGCTGACATTCCTCCGAGCGACAGACACACTCTCGTTACGGAATCTGGTCAAACGTGATTGTTCGTTATACGACGACGCTGTTGCGTAACATCGCCGTTAAATTACGACTGATGGCGTCACGACGCGAAATGATTGTGTTAACTTTCGACTGCTAATCTTATGTTTTGGCTCTGTGCAACGTTTTTCATTCGTACACGTCTCAATATAGTCCAATTAATCATTAAAGTAGTTATATTTGTTTAATTAAGAAATTATTATTTTGTTGAGAAAAATTCTCGATGTTTGCTCACTAAAACTATATCAATTTTATAAATTATTACATTTTTATCATTCCCATAGCATTTATATTTCCTTTAACATAAATCGCGCAGCTGTTTGTAATAGAATATTTTAAAATTAAATGGAAAAGAGAGAGAAAAGGAATTTATTATATCATAAAACCGCTTTAAACTTCAAAAAGAGCACGACGCACAAAAATCTGAAAAGAAATAATTGTTAAATAAATCTAATAATCCTTTTTAAGACAGCAATTTTAATTACCAGTGAATGAATTATGGGCTCGGAGCGATAAAATAGCAAAGTACGATTGAATGGTGAAGGTATTTGAAGAGTTGTAATAAAATTACGACATGCTTTCTTGAGAAATTAAGTGCACGAGATATTCTTGGTCCTTTGAGTTTTCTTTACTACCTCAGCGAATAGATCTGGCAGCCATTGTGCCGCCTGGATAATCCACCCCCAGACGGGGTAACCAGCCTTGTGTCGGCTCGAAAGTGGAATTTGTTCCTTACTGATAAATTTCCCATGAATACGACGCCTATCTGGAGATACGGTTTTCCATCGATTGCATGGTCTTAAAGGGATTCGTTCTATGAGGACGTATCTTCTGACAGAAAATGTTCCCCTCTTACTTTAAGTGGAGAGAAATCGAATCGTCGTTTTATTCCTTACAGTTCGCGTACTTCTGAATTACTGAGTATGATTTAATTTTCTAATTCCTTTCTACAAATGACCACTCGATTGCTCTTGTGAAAATTGGTGTTCAATTGGTATTCTTATAAGAAATTAAACTTGTAACAAACTATAAGTATTTTAAGATTAACAAAAATTGCAGAATGTCCTAATTATTTTAATGAGTGAAGTACCTTAATTAGAGTGTAACTAACCATCGAAGAATTAAGATTTTTTTGTAGTTTTTTTCAGCTTGTTACTTTTCATCAATAGATTCTGAATACGCGACAAACCTTGTTGTAAATTATGCTTCAAGAAGTTGACTTAATCTTGCTTGCAATCTGTACTGCGACTGTTTTATATTTCTAATTTTAAACTCTAATTTTAAGTCTAATAGCTGACGCCTCGTAAAATTGAGACATCGTGCCTGATGAAATTGGCGAATCGAGAAAGTTTTTATTACTGATTTCTCTGCGTGCTGCGAATCAATGGCACGGTGCAGACTTCGGCGCCATACTTTTTGCGACTTTCAATTGACTTTACAAGTTTCGCTTACGATTTTATAAGTTTTATTTTATAAGATTTTACAAGAAAATCGACACCGGATGTTTCTTTGTGTCGACATTCCATTGTTCTCCTCTCGTTGAAGCGAGTAAGTGAAGACGTGCTATCTGTCGTCACAATGATATATCTTCTTTGAACTATTAGTTGTCTCTACGTGCCACGAAAAAAGTCCGCAAATTTTGTTTCTATACCATGTAGTGGAAAACGAAGTATTCGCAAACGCATCCTCCGATAAAGAAAAATACGTGTATGCAATTATTTTTCCGCTGTGATTCCGCCAAGTAATTAATTAAAGAGTGAAGCAAGTCTCGCTTGCTAACAAGTATTGGTTCACTTTTCAAACACGGTGGTTTTTGTTAGATATGTTATTATTGAAGTACGGAATATTTTTTATATATTGATCGGTCAAAGTTAAGCTACTTGAGACTATATTAAATATATAAAGACTCTTGATTTAGTTAAATAATTAAGTAAGAGAAATAGAAGATCTCAACACATATTCGGAAGAAAACAAAATATTTTGTTTCTTTTTCCATTTCCTTTTTTCGTATATTCCATTACTTCTTCTTTTTCCATATATTCTATTACGTCGCAACCATATTAGTACAATCGCGATTGACAAAATGTAATAAGTCAGATATATCTTCTATATATACATATATGCATTTGCACACGCATGGCGCGCGAAGTCGTTTTCTGCGTATTATGAACGGGTCACGGATCAAACAGACGAGCGCGCTTCTTCAGAGAAATACGAAGGGCAAAACTATGCTGAAATTATAAAGAAAAGAGAGGAGAGAAAGACAGGCAATTTACGGTATCGTTAGGATGTCTGAAACTATTTACTGACAATCGCGATTAGTTCTCTTACGAATTTTCTTCAGTTTATTTTGCCATGAACGCTGCATTTTTGCTTATACAACCTGATCCAATATAACTTGCTTCTTGATACTTTTGATAAACTCGTCTTAAACTTTGAGCACAGATTATTTTTATATATAAATTATATTAATCTTATCATTGGATATAAATTTATAACATAAAATAAAATGTGTTTTAAAATGATATGTTAAGTTCCATATTAAAAGCAGCATCAACATCTTACAATTAGTAAAAAATAATTGTATCAGCCAACATTCCATTAGCATTCTATTTCTTCCATTGCTGCATTTTCTTTGTAAATCTACGCATTGCAATTATGACGTTTAATTGCTCATCTTGCTTTTCGCGATTCTTTTTCTTTATAAATCGCCGTTTCGTATAATCTTAGAAAATGGTATAAATGTATGTTACATCAAACAGATTAATATTAAATTCCACAATTCACGTCGTTTTATTTGTATTCCAGAGAAACTTCATCAAAATTAAAAAAAAAAATGCGCCAGGTAAAGGAATTCCAAAGCTATGTACGTGGAATAATACTAATGAAATATAGACTGCGCGAAAATCGACTACAATGTGTCAAAAAATAGATCGCTAGAAAATACGTATATCGTATTTTCGGATCATAGTGCGACAAAAGAGTCAATGTTAGTGTGCTGGAATCACATTTCGACTTTCACGCGAAAAAGGGAGACGTGAGGAAACACCTTTTGCGGAATAATGTCGCGCCACGCTGCTGCAACGAACGATGCAGCAGATCCGTCACATTCTCGTTCGGGATGCTGCAGTTACGTATACCGCAGAACATCAGCAAAAAGTTGTTGGGAAGTTTGCGCGAACGTGCAACCGTGTCAGGGCAAATTGGCCTTTTTAAGGACCCGACGCGCTGGACGCGGCAGATGTTGCTTCCGTCGAAATAGCCGAACGTACGGATTTGCGCTTCTCAACTTTTCTCCAGTTGATGCCGTGCCAGCTGCGACGGACGATATAATTCGCTTTTCACGAATTGGCGTTTCGATACCATGCTTCTTTTATGATGGCGGCGATAGTTCACTGTGTTACACTCACGGATTTACGCTCGAAACTCTTAAATGTATCTCTGTTTTACTTTAATTCAATATTTGCGAGACCAAATTACATTGAAATCCATAGATCCGTAAAAGAATGTGTTTTTGACACGAGTATTATTTAGGAGATAAAAACTTGTTTGTTACAATTTAATAATTTCCGCTCAAAATATTTATATAAATTAAAATATAGAACCAATAAACAAAATTAACAAATAAAATGTGGAAAAGCATTGTTTTTTTTGTTATTAATAACTTGTTTATTTGTGAAGGAATATTTGCCAAAATTTATTACGTTGCATGGCTATGTATTCTTGTTTTTTCATTTATTTATCTATAAAAACAAACGCCGTGTAAATGTACGAAAATAAATACATTATACGTTAGAACTACAGACGGTAGATATAAATAGAACAACGGTGAGAACGAGGGTGACTTGGGAATAATCCTGACAGATGAATGAAGATAAAAGAGCAAAGACTGCTATTTCGCAAGACACAATGGATTAATTATTCCCAAGCAATTACGCATCATTGATCGAAGAAATACGGCGCAATCAACAAATTGTTAGACTAAAAACATACAATTTGTCTTTAAATCAATGAGCGTCATTTAGCACTGATAGTGTTTTATTTATTGTAACGCGTATCGCATAAAAGATAAGCTTTTAAAGTCTACAAATTTGGTAGATTAAAATTTGATTCCAACGTTATTTCAATAATCATCTTCAAAATTAAGAAGAAATTAAAAATTGCCTTTCGTGTTTATATTTTGTACTATTTTAACGAGTTTTCTTTTATAAAAATCATGTGAATTTTTAAAGTTCGTACATGACGCTGTAAGGAAAGATAAATCTTATGACATAACATTGTACGCGATGTCGGTATATATCGACTTAATCGATATATCCAATAAAATGTCAGCACCTAATGGAAGTACCTGCAAACTCGTGCGCACTTCATGTGCACGTGTACATACGTATATACCGATTAATTTGCTGTCATTTCATTACGGCGCTACGTACAGAATGTGTTCGTCAGAAGTAGGTAAGCTGCACACGTAATTTCCTGCGCTGCGAGTCGCGCGACGTTCTCGCCTTCGTATGGATTGTACTTGAAGTCGGCTTATGGAAGTAAAGGAAGCGGTGCGCAAACCACCTACAGCGACTAACGCAGAAATCGTGTTTATGCATGAACAGCGTTCTATCCGACTTGACTTCTTCAGATTCACGATGCACGTAAAAACGTAAATATGTTTGCCGTGACAGTTGCGCCAAATCAGGGTAGAGATGTAAAATTCGAGGCAATCTATTTATAATTTTAACACTTGAAAATTTCATATGTACGTGTAATTCTTGTGCTGTAATAATACTCGGATAAATCCCACTCCGAACGCGTCGCAAAGATATGAAATACTCGGAAAATACGACAACGTTGTGATACTTTAACACGCGCTAAATGTAGATGTTTTATAACGAGTAAATGTAATAATATTGCTCGACAAGTTTTTCTATCCTTATTGAATAAACAGATATCTCGGATTGAAAGTAACAAGAATTTCAAGAAGATACTCGGAAGCTTTGAGAAATTTTATTACCCTCGGGCAGCTTCGAATAGCTTCGCCTCGGTGCGCGAGCCATGTATAGCGAGTAGCTGTATTCATATAAGTTCATACCCGCATATTCTTAATGGTTATATAATTCCATATAGGTATACAGAGTATACATCTAGCCGGAAGCACATTCCTTTTCAATCGCGAATTCTTTGGAGAATTTAGAATCGAGTTATTTGTGTAACAAAAAGTTGATCGAATTTAATTTGTATTTGGTATTTTCGAACATCTCCAATATTCACGATATCGCGAATAGTCAAAATTTAGTTCACTCAAAATTATTTAAAGCGGTTCGAGCTGCTTGCAAATCATATTCTCCAACGTCGTTCGATTTTCGATTATCGATAATTCGCAGACTGTGTCTATCGCATCTGCTTTACCGGTTAAGATATTCTTAGGTACTCCGTATGTAATTATGGAGTGATTTTTATATTGCATTACGTCGAATGGCTGTCGAGAGAAGTGGTGAAAAAGACTCAGTCGCAGCTCGGTCTCCCGCGGTATTTGCATTCTTATGAGAATCGCCACGTGCCACGGGGAATTCAATTTCCCCGCGGCGGTAGTCAAGTTTCGAATAGAGTAATACCCAATTATTATGTTCGCCCCGTTATTCTTGGCCGCGTCAAAGAGCGCGCGAGTTGGGTTCTCGCGCTAAGTCCCGCGAGCGGAAGAACCGAGAAGAAGTAGATCGATGCGGCTGTCAAGCGGGCTTGCGCGAAGAATGCGAAATTAGAGTGTTATTACGTGAGACGCGCGGCCGCTTTAAGGACGGGAACATATTTCGCCGTGGAACGATCTTTGCATTTGCATACATAACGTCCCACGCTTACACTTTGCGATGCCGTATATCTTGCAGCGGATATTATTTATATTTACACTTTATACTTGGAGAACTTTGCGAGCGAAATATCGGCATCGACAGAATAAATGACTTCAATACGACGTGCCGTAATACGACAGCGACCACTTCTACAGTTAACTTCTACGCGAGATTCATCTCACCTTGTTGCTGTTTTGTCCCATATCGAGCTCGCGATTGTACCGCTTCTCGCCGTAGATCCAGTCTTGAATTACTTTCTGGATCTCCGGCTTCTCCGGGTCCACTAATCGAAAGGCAGTGATATTGGTCCCGCCGTGTCGGAATTCTTCCAAGTCGACAGTATGCAAGTCCTGAAAGAAATGTCCATTAATCGCGACATGAATTCCCATTATCAGTCACACTTTCGTAGAATTTTATATTAGTTACATTCTACGTGAAATTACAGCTCTTTCCTCCTATCATCGCACTTGAGAAATTTTATACATTTATTCACATTTAATCTGACTTAAAAATTTACTCTTGATTATTTGTGAATGCTATTTTATATCTTAATAATTGTCTCGTGAAAATACGCAACGTAAGATTAATAATTTTCCAAATTAAAATAAGATTCGGAGATAGTAATGAGATAATAATAGTAAAATAATAAAAGAAAACATTTTTGGAACATTTGGGCAGCAATATTTGCGGCATCTCGGTAGTAATATTTCAAATCGGAATCGGAAGTACTGTTCCGTCGGAAACTCTGCTGGTTTACTGCGGATTAATCATGTAAGATAAACCTCAAGCGGATTCACATAGCAAAGCCAACATAATGTTAAGAGTTTTCCAGAGAACTACTCTTACGATAAAACGTTCCACAATTTCCTCTAAACTAAAGTTTCTAATCGTTTGACAAGCATCAGATTTAGCAAAGCTGAGCGATGTGTGATTACACGGATTAACACGAGTTACATATATATTTTTTTTTCTAAATACTTCCTATAATATTTTTTAATGCATTAGTATGTATGCGTTTCTGGCTGCCAATAGTATTTTTGATACTTTCATTATTTTTTTTTTAAAGAACACAGTTTTGCTTTGAATTTTTTTGCTACTTTTTTCTCGCAAATAAACATTTATAAAGTGAATTATAATTCATTTTTGTTTGCGCGCTTCTGTTCGAAAATGATTTTATTATATGAGATGCACACCGCTATTTATAAACCGTTTCTTGCCGCGATCGACATTTAAAAGAGAAGAATACTTGAATTTGCATCTTTTGTGATGCATTCAGTAGCTATCGGCAGGAATAAAGATAACTCAAGCACAAAGCGTATCTCCTTCAAACCGGTATCTGTACCGGTGACGCTAGCGGTCCGACGTGATTTAAAGTCGCGTGTAGCTCGACGCGGCGCACATCCCGGCCAGTCCTTTCGAATACTCGCGGAGGATCGCGCCGCGGCCATTTATTATCCTTTGTCCTGAATCCGGGACATGATAGATAAATCCGGTTTTCTCGATCTGCTGTCTTCGTAGAGTAGATCGACACACTTGGCGACGTACCCACGTTCCCGATGTCGCGCGATGGTGATCGATCATCGTCTCGCCTCAAGCTACATCCGGTCCGCGTTTCTTTCAGACACGTCGCATCGCGGTGACAATATTGCTCACGATGTAGAATAGCGCGCAATAATGGGCAGCTGGGCGGGGTATGCATCTCTACGTTTATGAACTTCCCTCTTCCTTAATCTGACGATCGTTATGCAAGACGATTACCAATCTCTCGGGAAGCAGCACGAAAATGAAAGCTATGAAGAGAAGCATTTAGAAGCATGATAAGCTGTAAGATCACTATGCAACGTGATGGAATAACGTAAAATTTGCACTTATACTGAACGAAGTTGCGCGTTAATATGCAATTGAGTGTTTTTAACATGTTTATCGCGACATCATTATTTTTTAAACGATAAAAAATTTGTAGTTCTCCAAGAATATTAAAAAGTTCACATTTAATGTTGAAGCGACGATGAAGATTCTTAGTCAAATCTTTGTTAAAGGAAAATTTATTTCAAATCCGTTACAGAAGTCTGGCGCATGAATGCACATACTGTAAGGATAATAATAGAATAATTATAAATGTGCATACATAACGTTAATTAATATTTTTGAACGAATAGAATAATGCAAATAGGATGTTCTGGTTGAAATTAATGGTCAAAATTAATGGCTATCGTATTTTAATTTATTTACTCATTATTTTAACGAATTTAAAATTACTATTTATTTTACTAATAGAAAATCATTACGCGTTACCTCGTTCACTCGCCAATTTCAATTACTTGAACCGATGCATATTTAATACACAATATAATATCATGTGTATGCACTGGCCACGCTGTGGTCAGAGGAATGGCTGGCCAGAGGAGTAAAGCGAGGGCAACGAAGGGGAAAACTCGGAAGCGCCACGAGCGTACAACAGCGAGTGCTGTTATTGCATCCACTCGTACACGCCGGTGTAGCTTCTTTCAGCACGACGACTCGTTGCAATAGCATCGCGTTTCTCATGCGCGACATTTTGTTAACATTTTATTAACACGCATTTGCGCGGAATCGCAGTGCGCGCGCGCGCGCGCGCCGAAGATTTGCGTGCGCGAATTTGTACGTCGGGATGTGTATATCACGCACGAATAGTTATTGATCACGGTTATTCGATCCAGGTGGTCGCTGTCGCGGGACGAATATCCGTTGTATACTTTATACCGTGACACGCTGGAAAACGGATTGCTTTATCATCTCCCCGTATTCGTCACGATACGAAAGCAAAGCGTGTAAACGCGCGCGCGCGCTATCGGATTTTTGTTTATCAGCAAGACTAACATAGGGGCGAGTAACAAAGAGAATGACTTTTTTTCCTCTCAGTACGTTATCATCGCGCCTACGAAAATGGTGGATGCGGCAAGAATATCGCTTTTCACACGGCATTCGGTCTGTCGTTAAATTCCATTCTCTCGTAACTTGTTGTTTGAAACGAGAACAGACAGCGCGTGCGAGTGTGCACATGCGGACACTGAGAGTATCATCGAAGTCGTTTGACAGATGGTTCGCGTACCCACAGTGGATGTGCACTACTGCGCCGTGCACATCATAGTTAGTTCGACGATATATCCGACGGAGGAATTTTACAATAGAATTTTAAGCATTTAACTTGATATGCAATTGCATCTAAACGGCAAATGTAACAATTATGTGACGTTTTTAACAATCGTTTTGTGTTTATTTTTTCAGAAAGAAAAGCCATGATAAAAACATTCTTTATTATGACAGAGTTTTTCGTTTTTTTTTTTTGAGAAATTTTTTTACACAATTTTGAACATTTTACGGTTTCTTTATTGAGATTGTTAAAAATGATTTAAAAAGTGATTTGGAACGAAATGTTGTTTGGAAAGTATTCTATTTCAGCGTGGAATAGGATATTCCCGCTCGGGAGCAAAGTTCCATGCGAAAATCCAGCGGCGTATCATCGTAAGCGATGAATGTCCGTAATAAGTACCCCAAATGGCGAGCAAAGCTATAACGATTATAACAATCATCGTAACCGTAACAGGCATAATAACCGTAATGATCGCGCGGGGACTGCGTCGACGTCGCTAAATTCGAAGTAGGATGCTACGGGAGTCCGCGCCGCAGGAATCTCCGCACCGCCGCCGAGGTGTCCGTGTGAGAGCGGACATCCATAATTTCATTACGAAATCACTGTTTCATGGGGCGGACTTAATTCGTTGAAAGGTAATTCGTCGAAAGCCAAGCGAAGTGACCGAGCAAGATTCATTAATGCTGTCGTCCGTCCGGCGGAGAAACGGCGCGCGACTATAGCGTGCACCTATATCCGCCCACGTGCGGAGCACAGCTATGCGGACTTCCTGATCGTGCCGCGGAGAGGTCAGGTTGATGGATGATGGCCAATTTTTCCCTCCGAGAGCCTTGACGACTGGCCGACGTAAGTGAAAATAAATAGTCTCCGACTCGGAACATATCGTCGCGGGAATCGAGCGTGGCACCGTTACATTCTGTCATGCGATGAAAATCGGCCGCGACATTAAGCACTTATTAAACAGCCGTATCCTTTTCATCTCGCCGAGCTCTTTCTTGACAAATCTGGTGAAAAACCCGTCTAATCATTTATCACTTGTTTTGCCGTCGTGTTATAGATTACATCGTTTAATCGGTTTAGTATTTTTTTTTGTACTTATTTCCGCAATTTTTTTCCATGTAGCTTTTTTACATTTGCTCGATAATTAATATTAGAATTAAATATTCTATGCAGTTTATAAATGAATAGCCTAGGCTGACACGATGCAAATTTTGTACAGGTGACCATATATAATTAATTAAATTATAAGTGATTTCACTAATGTGACTTAATTAATTTTTCATAAGTTATTGTTAAATATTAAACGACGGTTTATCAATTTTTAACAGCTTATTATGGACAGATAGAGATAGATAGGATTTTAAGTGTTAAGATATCGATAAAATAATACACTCGAGTTTAGATAATTGTCGAAGATCGAGCGATTCTTCTATCTTATAGAATTATTATTATTACGAAAACGCTGATAAATATTTGCTTTAGAATTTCTCAACATTAAGCTCAAAGTGTGTGCTCAAGTAGCTTATTATCGACGTTGATCGGCGAGATCGACATATCATAAACAAATTTTTCACGTATTGCAATTAAAACGATATCCCCCTACTTTTTATCTCACGGCAATTTCTGCACTTCCGCCGCGATCGTTTATCATAATTATTCATCCTTTCTTTGTCAACGCGGGGAAAAAAATTTACGGCGGATCTAAACGAATTCAAACTACATTCGCTATCTGCGCGATTACTAAATGTCCCATTGTTCGAAGGTTAATACCAGTGATCAACGCAATTCCTCGCCAGTATAAACCCGTAAAACAAACCAGCCCTCGTCAGTAAAGTCAACGGAAAGAAGACGGAAGAAAAAGCGTAGCTCGATTCTTCCGTGCTTGAACAAATACCCTTGCTGATTTACATTTTAATGGATCTAAATTGAAATCTGGTGGGGTGAGTGGGGGAGGGAGTAGTACCGAGATAAATTGCGCCGCTCGTGGTTATATAGCGTGTCCGTTTAAAGCCCTATTTATTTTTTATCATTTATTGCCGTCGCGTCGGCGCAGTTACGGCTTCTCGCGGCGTCTCGCTCGTCTGACATGATGCCCCGCTGAGGTGGCTGTAAATTACTAATTATTCTGAGACAGCTTCCAATTTGAACTACAGTCGACCCCCGACGCTTTCCGCTTTTCAGTCGTTTTCGAGCAAACGCTCCAAGAGTCACGTCGTGCGTTTTGCACTCGCGTAATGTTTTCATTACGCTCGCGACGAGCTCGCAGATGAACTTGGGACAAATGAGTTTTCACGTATTAAAAAAAAACATTCCGTACCTGCGATCTTACGACAAGTCGCGCGCTTTTGTCGCCACCGTTTACCAAAATGACTCATGCATTCTTACTTTTAAAATTTTACTGCAATCTCTCTCATCGTACATAATTTATTGATTCCTATTTGTCATTACTGACATGAAAAAATTGATGATTTTTTAAATATCAGTTTTATTTTGATTTTTATCGATATTTTAGTGCGTTTTAATACAATTCTTAATAGATATTTATTCAAAATGATTATGCGAGTTTTCAATCCCGAATGATAATTTATTTTCTGCTTGGAATTCGTCAAGTTTGTTTCATAATGGATGGATGAAACTGATTACATTGGAGATGATAATCGAGTGATATCGAATGTCACGAAATAATATCGCGAAATCCATTCAATGCTACATCGAGCCATTCTGCGTTTAAATGTATCCTTCAATCGCGGCAGGTCAATGACAGTGGAGGCGCAATCTCTGACCAGCGCCACTGTTCGCACGGTAATCGATTTCTCGTCTCCTTAACGGTAATTTACGAGGATCTCAAATATTCCGGGAGTAAAGTTATCGACCTTCGTTCTCCGTGGGAGCGTCGGAGCGTCTTTCGGCGCTGCTCCTGACAGAAGCGTCGAAAAACGGGGTCGCAGGTGGTTAAGACGAAGATTGCGAGAATTAACCGTACGTGCGACGCGTCTGATGCAATTTCGTGGATCTTAAGTCTGAACGTTGAATTATATCGCGGTCTACGGCGAAGTCGATCGCTAATCGCACTTAAATACTCACTAGAGAGGTGATAAGGTAGCTGTGATAGTCGCTCATCATTCCGATCTGCTGCGCCTGCTTCAACACGTCGTAAATCCTCTCGGTGGAGCAGTCGAGGACGATATGCGACTCCGCGGAATTCTTGATCTGCTTCAGCAGCGGCCTGAAAATGAAGCAACAATATTCTATAATTTGAAGATGTGTCAAATGATTACGAAGTATAAAGAAGAGAAAGATCGCAAAAGCACTAAAAGAATTGCTGCGTTGCATCTCGATTTATATATTTCAAGCCCTTTCCAGTTTGAATAGAAATTAGACAGCATGAGCTCGAACGGTATGAAGAATGAACAGAAATTGTCAGCCAAGATTCCTCCGTTGATGCGATCATTGCGCGACAAACAGATGTCGCAAATTTAATATTAAGCTTGCATTTTCCGCGCGATCCGGTCGCGCGAGAGCTCGCTTGCTTCCGCGACGTTCTTCGGAGACCGAGCGGTTCCGATTCCGGACATGCTTTCCGCCTTGTACCACTGATAAAAATTTCATACTGCCGCCGGCTGCTCTTCGGTCTCTCGGTCGTCCTTCGGGCTCACCCCCTCACTTCCCGTCATTCAACATGCACGATAATGCGAATCTCCTTATGCAGCCCGTGGAAGTCGGGTGCCCGGCTCGCCGTAGGAATTTTTCATGCTCTATGCATAATTTAGTGAAAGTGCCCTTTATGCGCGCGTTGCTCTCGTAGCCGTATCATTCTGTGAATTTCACAATACCGCCCCCCCCCCCCCCCGTCGGCGACGATTGCGTCTCTCTGCGACTTTATCGAACGATGAAATGGAGAAGGATGAGCGTTGATGGAAGAAAAAGTTATGGTAGTTTCGAATAAATAGACGTCGAGTTCTCTTCGGATCAAGTGTCTATGTTCAATCATATTTCCGAGTATAAAAGCAAATTCGTAATATTCTGCAGATTTGTTTCTCGAATAATTATCGAATTAATTCTCAAACGGAAGCAATTTCTCACCGAGTGCGATATAATATAAACTAGAAATTTGAAATAACGTAAAATAGGTTATAAATTTTAGGAAGATAGTTTCGTATAATTTGAAATTGAGAATTATTACTTTTTTCTAAATTGTAGAAAATGGAGAAGAAATATTGCGCGATACGTCGACAGAAATTAGTTCGAGGTTAAATTATTACTAAATTGAATTATTAAGGAAATCAGTTAATTTTAATGCGTCAATTAAGAATTAATTTCTCGAAATTACGGAGAATTATTTAAAATGATATTAGCGGTACAATGGCGCCGCGACTTAATCGGCATTACGGTTACGTCATTCCCTCGCAGCGGCAGTTTACTATAGTAATAAGCGTTCAACAGCATCACGTATTTCGCGGAATAGACCCTGTCTTTGGGTAGCTCTACGATATTACAAGGACAGCCGTGAAGCGCCTCGAAATCCTGCAGTATCATTTCAGCGTTTCGATGCTGGTTACTCGTATTTTGTCACCCTTTAGCTTCCCAAGGGCTTACCGAATTTTTCGAGAGTCGGATCTAGCCTTTATTCGAGACCGTTTTAAAAGCTCTAGTTGGTTTAACATCATTGTTTAATATCACTTGAAAAGCTTCACATTTTCAATACGAAGCTCAAACATTGTTCAGTCCGGATTGCGTGCTTAAAAATGTTTGTTCAAAATGCACGTGCATTTTAGAGCATGCACAGTATTATTTGACGATTTCAAGAGTACATTTATGATATATTTCTGAAATAAAAGCAACTTTTCATTATTTTTTTTACTTTATTTTTATAATACTGCCAGATTACAATATTGTTTTACGCGAGAGAAAGAAAAACATTGATTTATGTACAAGTATAAATACTTAAAAGCCAGACTTGGAAATTTTACATGTAAAGTATAAGGTTTTGAGTTGAACTACTCGGCTTTATTCTCTCTCTTATTTACGATAATAAATCAATAATAACGTTACTTTATCGGAAAACTATCAAAACTATTTTGGAAACGGTTTGCTCCGATTAAACACGCCTGTATTGCTATTATTTATCTTTATTAATAAACGCTTAGCGATTAATAGGATAATTATGCCGTTCTTTGCCGTGCATTGTTGCTGTGCAATATATATGCACTCATTACTATGCAATTATAATGATTGTCACTCTAAATTAGTTATCATATTGCGTTCATATCGGTTCTAAGCTACGCGCATTTTCGATCACGTTGATAGTTATAGATATTGCAATAATCATGTTGCGTTAATAGGATAACTCGTGGTAGACATTTATCCAATAAGGGTTAATGTGTACTGCATGTGCGCCCGGTGTTATTCGCTGATCGATTTCGCAAAGTTCATGTGTTTTGGACATGCACGATAACGTATATAATTCGCACGAGTCGTATATAAAAATTGAATTTTTATCGCACAAAAATTCGGCATTATATTACGTTCCAAACATATGAGATCTCTATTTCAAAAATAATGTGGTTGACACGCACAAGTTTTTGAAACTTTGCGCATTTTAATGATATGCGAATGTAAATCAATAACGTAGCTTGTCGCGATTCCGTAGGTTTGCTAATCAGAGAATCCAATTATCGTGATTGATTGAATGTCGCGAATCCTGTTACAAATTGTTATTTTGATACGCGTTCAAAGCGACGGTTTACATGCTAAAACGCAAACGCTGTCTTTGATCGGATTTTGTATCGTCGATATAAACTTTTACAGCTTATTATATATATACATACAATGTGTGTATAAAAGCGGAAAGATAAATGTGGTTGCGTAATCGATCACAGATACATTCGCGCGATCACGCGCGTATGAACTTTGCCGACGATGAGAAATCGATACGTTGTTTCGCAAGAAAAACGCCTCTTTATGCTCGAGACTGCTTTTCTTCTTGATGTAATACTTGCTTTTGCGAGGTGCACTCTCGAAAGAATCAAACAGCCTAACGCAAGACGAGCAACCGTCTTCCGCTTGTCTTTTCTTTTTTTTTTTTTTTTTTTCTTTTCCTGTAAAGAGGCCACTCTTTGCGGTACTTTAGTCGACCGTTGCCGCCGCTACTCCAGATAGGTTTCCAGAGATAGTTCGTGCGATAGTCAACCTTCCTCCTACGAGAGGTTGTACAAAGTCGAGAGACGCCGTATCGCGAGACGCATAACGACGAGAGAACACAGTCTCCCGGAATTTTTAATCTCGCATGCGGGAAAAAAGTTACGAATCAATGTTGTGGATCTCGCAACTTTGGAATTGTTAAGCGGAGGATAAAAATGCAGAGCGAGACTTGCAATCATCGCCCGTTTCTTACGTCCTCGCGACTGAATATATGATTGTGATGTGAATGCAGAATAAAATCTCTTTTCGCGCATTTTATGATTTGAAAATTTTTCAAAATTTTGTTTCAAGTATCTGAAATAAGGATTTTAATGGATTAATATACTCGTTAGGATACAGTCGATAGCCGCGTCAGTATAGCGTAGCAAAAGCAATCATTCATCAGATACGCGCGATCCGAGACGCGGGGTCCGCTCGATTTATAACAGGCAGGACGGCGAAGAACGGAAAAATGATGAAAAATGCGTCCGGCAATTCGATATGTTCGGTAATCAATATCCTCGACGGTTACGCGCCGCTCCAATATTTGCTTTTCATCAAGGAAATGCAAAACGCCGAGGACATGTCAATTTCGCGGCCTCGCTAAATAAATGGCGCAATCTCCGCGACGATGCAAGGAACTGCCGAGACTGCGCGTCTAATCGCGCGCGATTTCTCTCCGAAGTGAAATATCCGTGCCTCGGCATGTAACATGTTAAGCGCTCCTTGCTTGTCTTGTAAGAATTATATGCCGCGCTAGGTAAACGGAGTTCAGAATTTTTCGTGAGCGTGCAACGCTGAAGTTCAAACATTTTTTTTTTTTTTTTAATTAAACTTAGCCCGTCAATTTTGATTTTAATTCAACTTTTACTATATTGTATTAATATATCAATCAATTATTCTTCTACTTAGTAATCTTTATTAAAAGTAGTTTGTGATATCGTTCAATGCGATGAAGATGTAAGTACCTATTATCTGTTACTTACGTAAGTTTCATTTTATGTCGATTGAATTTGGTAGCTGGTCGATTGAATCTGATATCGGACAGTGTATTGAAATCGAATAATCAATAAAGCCCAGTCGTGTCCATTAAATGCTTTATTGCGGCTGCCACACATTGCAAGAGTGATGCTTCTACTCGGCGCCTGGCAGTTAGCGTGATCCTGGTTACAGAGTGCTTTTATTCTCTCGGAAAAGACCCACGAAAGTAATAAAAATAGCATGGCGCATTGTTCGATATTACTGTGTACGGTATTTCGGCTAAGTTCTTTTTTATTGATTTGATTCACTTCGATTCTCGATTTCGCATTGATTTTACGAGCCGAAGTCTCTCGATGTCCTCTTGAAATGACTGCGATTGTGGCAATAGTGGCTTGGTGATTAAGGACAGTGTAAGAGTAAAGCAAACGCAGCATTTCTTGATGGTCGGCGAAGAACGGATCTTAAGATATAAGTTTTGTGCAATTTAATAATATATTTTCTAAAGTAGACTTCATACACAACTTTCATTTAAAGGAAAATAAAGAAAACAGAAAATTGATTGAACAATTTATATCATATTCATTGATGTCAAATTGCGAATGCACTCTAAATATTTAATATAGATTTTTTAATTTTTATGAATATATCAATAATAAAAAAAGAATAAAGAGGAAAAATATACATTAAATATATTTTATATATCTTGATTCATATAATATTTAAAATTATTTTACATTACATCCTTGAATGTACAGACATTTGCACTTTTTGTAAATGTTTAAAATAAATTTATTTCTCTTTTATCAAATATATTATTTAGTAAAAATACTTGAGTGCTTATGGTTTTGCTTCGATCTTCTAAGAGGATAAAATTCTAAATGTTAAGTAGACTTTATATATATATATTTAATAGAAGAATTCATCTCTTCTGCTTAATTGTCTCCTACCTCATTATACCTTTCGCGACCCTGCTTCACCTGTCGAGGTTTCCTCAACGAGAAACTTAGCGAATCGATTTTGAGGGAAACGGAAGGAGGAGTCGGAACAGAAGTGGAGGAAGATAAG